AAGATAATGGTTTCATCATTATAAACCTGTCTCAGGAGGATCTGTTTATAGTTGTAATGATCATGCCTTAGAGATCGTTGGCGTGGGAACCATCAAATTGAAGATGTATGACGGAACAATTAAAGTTGTTCGAGATATGCGACACGTGAAAGGCCTGAAGAAAAATTTATTATCCTACGGATTGTTGGATAATAATGCAAGCAAGATTGAAACACGGAAATGAATCATGAAGGTGTTCCGTGGAGCGCTTGTTGTGCTGAAAGGCGAAAAAATAGCTGCAAACTTGTACATGCTGAAGGGAGAGACTTTGGTAGAAGCAGAAGCCTCTGTTGCCTCATGTAGTTCAGATTCGGCAATGCTATGGCATCAGAAACTTGGACACATGTCAGAACAAGGAATGAAAGTCCTTGTGGAGCAAAAGCTACTTCCAGGCTTAACAAATGTATCACTTCCTTTGTGTGAGCATTGCATAACAAGTAAGCAACACCGGTTGAAATTTAACACATTAAATTCTAGAGGCAAAAGTGTTCTAGAATTGGTTCACTCTGACGTATGGCAAGCACCAGTAACGTCCCTAGGTGGAGCAAAATACTTTGTCTCATTTATTGATGACTACTCTAGGAGATGTTGGGTGCACCCTATTAAGAAGAAGTCAGACGTGTTTTCAACTTTCAAAAACTTCAAAGCGCGGGTGGAACTTGATTCTGGAAATAAGATCAAGTGTTTCAGAACAGATAATGGAGGAGAATACACAAGCGAAGAATTTGATGACTTTTGCAGGAAATAAGGCATCAAAAGACAGTTCACAGTGGCGAATACTCCTCAACAAAATGGAGTGGCAGAGCGGATGAATAGAACCTTGTTAAAAAGAACAAGAGCAATGTTGAGGGATGTAGGCCTAGAAAAATCATTCTGGGCAGAAGCAGTCAATACCGCCTGTTATTTGGTGAATCGAGCTCCATCAACTGCAATAGAGCTGAAGACACCAATGGAGATGTGGACTGGTAAACCAGTTGATTATTCAAACCTCCATGTATTTGGAAGTATTGTGTACGTGATGTACAACGCCCAAGAAATTTCAAAGCTGGATCCAAAATCCAGGAAATGCAAATTCTTGGGGTATGCTGATGGAGTAAAGGGGTATCGCTTGTGGGATCCCACTGCCCGCAAAGTGATCATTAGCAGGGATGTTATCTTTGTAGAAGATAAGCTACAAAGAAAAGAAGACGATGGTAACGCTGAAAAGTCAGAGACTACTCAGATACATGTGGAAAAAGAGTTTGAAGAAGAAGATTCTTCTGAAGCAGAACCAACACATGATGAACAAGAACCAGAGAGTTCTAAAGCTCCAACAACTCGTCAATCAGATCGTGTGAGAAGACGTCCCAATTGGCACTCAGATTATGTTATAGAAGGTAATATTGTATATTGTCTTTTAACAGAGGACGGTGAGCCATCAACATACCAGGAGGCAATAAACAACTCAGATGCTTCACTGTGGATGATGGCGATGCAAGAAGAAATCGAAGCCCTTCATAAAAATAATACATGGGACCTTGTGCCACTACCACAAGGAAGGAAGCCAATCGGTAACAAACGAGTCTTCAAAATCAAGCGAAATGGTGACGATCAAGTGGAGAGGTATCGTGCAAGACTGGTGGTCAAAGGATATGCTCAGAAAGAATGTATTGATTTCAATGAAATTTTTTCTCCTGTGGTTCGACTAACAATAGTTCGAGTAGTCTTGGCAATGTGTGCTACATTGAATTTACATTTGGAACAGCTAGATGTTAAAACAACTTTTCTTCATGGAAATCTTGAAGAAGAGATTTATATGCTCCAGCCTGAAGGTTTTGAAGAAGACGAAAAGAAGAACTTGGTTTGCAGGTTGAACAAATCTCTGTACGGTCTAAAGCAGGCGCCGAGGTGTTGGTATAAGAGATTTGATTCCTTCATTATGTGCCTTGGATACAACAGACTTAATGCAGACCCTTGTGCTTATTTCAAGAGGTCTGGTGATAACGATTTTGTTATATTGTTGTTGTATATGGATGACATGTTGGTTGCAGGACCCAACAAAGATCATATTGAAGAATTGAAGGCACAACTGGCTAGGGAATTTGAAATGAAGGACTTGGGATCAGCAAACAAGATTCTAGGGATGCAAATTCACCGAGATAGAAGTAATAGGATGATTTGGCTTTCACAAAAGAATTACTTGAAGAAAATCTTGTCACGATTTAGCATGCAAGATTGTAAGCCAATTTCTACCCCTCTTCATATTAACTTCAAATTATCCTCCAGTATGAGTCCTAGCAGTGAAGAAGAGAGGATGAAGATGTCTCGAGTACCGTATGCATCAACAGTGGGAAATTTAATGTTCGCTATGGTATGCACAAGACCAGACATTGCACAAGCAGTGGGAGTGGTTAGTCGATACATGGCAAATCCAGGCAAAGAGCATTGGAATACAGTGAAGAGGATCCTGAGATATATCAAAGGGACCTCAAATGTTGCATTATGTTATGGAGGATCAAACTTACTAATCAATGGGTATGTAGATTCTGACTATGCAGGGGATTTGGATAAAAGCAAATCTACTACAGGATATGTGTTCAAAGTTGCTGGTGGAGCTGTAAGCTGGGTTTCAAAATTGCAGTCAGTTGTGGCTACGTCCACAACAACAGAGGCAGAATATGTAGCAGCTACACAAGCCAGTAAAGAAGCAATTTGGTTGAAGATTCTATTGGAGGAGTTTGGGCAAAATCAAGAGTATGCCTCTCTGTTTTGTGACAGTCAAAGCGCCTTGCATCTAGCAAGGAATCCAGCATTTCATTCAAGGACAAAGCACATACGAGTTCAGTACCATTTCATTTGTGAAAAGGTGGAAGAAGGGACAGTAGATATGCAAAAGATCCATACCAAAGACAACATAGCAGATTTCATGACGAAGGCGATCAACGCTGATAAATTTACCTGGTGTCGATCCTCTTGTGGCCTGTCAGAGACTTAAGCAACATGATGGTACAAGGTAGAAAGAATAGTGTGAAGATATGATTGTTCCAATCAAATCTTCAAGTGGGAGATTGTGAAAAAATCAAACAAGTTGTGCAATTGATTTAGGTGCACATGCAATTGTTCAATTGCTTTCGGTGGCAGCACTAATTTTGTCAAAATTAGGTGCACCAATAGTTGAAAATTAAATGGGCAAAATACAAACTTTAATCATTAAAATTTATGGTATTTACAAGATTAAGTCCTTAAGATTTAGCTATAAATACCTTATCCCATTTAGCTTCAAAACCATCCCAAAGCATTCTAGCTTTCTTTCAATACTAGAGAGATTTTAGAGAGTTTCTTGAGAGTTGTTTTCTCCTTTTTATCTAGAGAGAATTATCATTGTTTTCTCCTTGGTAGATCGAGAGAGGTTGTAATTCCTATTTTCTCATAGTGAAATTCTTCTACCGTTGCCCATGGTTTTTACCCTAAATTTTTAGGGGTTTTCCACGTAAATTTTGTGTCTCTTTTATCTTCATTTTTATTTTCTCAAATTATCAGTTACGATTTTGCTCTATCCGATAGCCGTCTTCCGCAACACATGCATACACGCACGTGTCTTCGTCCTAACACTTTGTTTGTCTTGGCAGATACGTAGCTTCATTGTCGCTAAAGGTATTTGGCCGTTAATATTGAATTTAGTGATCTCAGTGATGCTTTGTAATTCCTGAAAAGGTTGGTAAAAGTCTTATTTGTATTAGGAGTTGCACCATAAACTAGATATGTTGAACCAAGAACAACCTAGGGGGCATGATGAACTTTGAGGAGCCTCGATACTAATTTTGACAGACAACGGTCCAGTCCAGATAGAAGATGTTGAGGAAATGTGAAATGTAGCCTTTTTTGATCTGGTAGAGAGTGAAGCATCATCTGAGATGGCATCATTGTATTTGCACTTTTCTATTTTTTTCATAGCAGAGTATGTTTCATTCAGATTACAGATACATTGATGGATGAATTGAGGTTCAGTTGTACTGATTTTGATAATATTAATAATAGGTACTTGTTTCACTTGATCAGACCAGTCAACAAAATTGTCTTTCAGATGCAAAAACCGTTGGATTATTTTCATTTTTAATAGTTTTTCTTCACCCCTACTTTAGTAGTAGAGGTGAACAAACAATTAAATAGATTGGTTTAATTGATTTTTTTTATATTTAATCGATTTAACTGATCAAATGCAATAATAATCGAGCCAACTAAAATGGACTTATCCCTACTTGGTACGGGTGATTATATGATCAAATTTATTGCCATGTTAAAAGCTTGATTGTACAACGGTTAGAATTTTATTGTACTCTCGAAACAATACTATATTATAAAATGCTCGATATTTTGTCTCTCTATTCTGTAATATATCTCAAGGAGTGTTTGAGAGAGAGAGAGGACATGATCCAAAATCGTTGTTTATCGTCGCTTACCTTCTGGATAACACCACCACCAAGTCCTCCAAGTTCTTTGTGCTCTGCAATCAAGTTCCCATTATCGTCAACTCCTGATAGGATCACTTGAGGTGCTTTGATACCCATAGATAAATCATAGTAAGTGTTCTCTATCTTATATGATCTTCAAGTTAGTCCTCTCTTCGAAGCATTCATGATATGGAAAAATTTCAATTATTTCATACAATAATATTTAAAAATATTGTGTAATCGTAAAATCTATAGACAAGTACAATTGTGTAACCGATAATAATATTTAATTTTCTTATTTTATAAATAATAAATACATGAAGCTGAGGAAAATCAAATCCATGTGATTTGTTCTACACTTGTGCTTGTAGTTATACACCTGGGAAAATGGGAGGGAAAAACGGGGTCTGATTCAGTTTTGCTTTTCCTCTTACAAATGCCTACACTTATATATAAATAATTGAAATAAGCAAAGATGAATCAAATAAAGGAGTAAAAAAAATGAAGAATGATGAAGCTGTAGGACTTGTTATGGAGAACAAGCCGAAGACAAAGATCGTATGTACCCTGGGCCCTTCATGCAGGTCCGTCCCTATGCTCGAGAAGCTGTTGAAAGCTGGTTTGAACGTCGCTCGTTTCAATTTCTCTCATGGATCTCACGCCTACCATCAAGAAACTCTTGATAATCTCAGGGCCGCCATGATCAATACCGGTATCCTCTGCGCCGTCATGCTCGATACCAAGGTGCGTACGTATTTCCGATATCATATTTTTCTTTTCTTTTCTTTTACTTACTGGCTTTAATCTATCTTTCTTCCCTTTCAACATCAACATTAATCCGATCTAAATCACTCTATCACGTATTAATAATTTGAACAATCCAAACTTTTCGATGAAATGTTTTTGGTTTCAGATTACTAGATAATGACACATTATTTGAAATAAGCTTGAAATTAAATTATTTTTTAAAATTTTTAAATGATATTTGATCATTTATTTTACTGGTTATATATGAATTTATATATAACATCAAATAATTATTAATAATAGAAATAGAAATAAACTCAAATTTATTTTCATACAACTATTAGAATTAATTAAATTTAATTTCTAAAAGTGTTGATTAGAGGGAAAATGAGCAGTAAGCAAGAAATTAGCTTAACATATAAATTACAACCAAGGATAACTTGGTCAAATTTTCGTTATGATCACTCTACTATGTTTGCAATTAAAGTTATAAAGCTGAGCTGACGAATCCAACTGTTGATTCATACGTAAAAATTTGCACCCAGGGTCCTGAGATTCGAACAGGTTTTCTCAAGGATGGTAAAGTTCAGCTGACACAGGGTCAAGAAATCACCATCACCACCGACTATGAAATAAAGGGTGATGCGAAACTGATAAGCATGAGTTACAAGAAGTTGGCTTTTGACGTAAAACCAGGGATGGTCATACTCTGTTCCGATGGGACAATCTCGTTCACCGTCTTGTCTTGCGACACAGATAAGGGTTTGGTTCACTGTCGGTGTGAGAACTCTGCTGTTCTTGGTGAGAGGAAGAATGTTAACCTCCCGGGGGTTGTCGTCGACCTCCCGACCTTGACGGAGAAAGACAAAGAAGATATCTTGGGATGGGGAGTTCCTAACAAAATCGATATGATTGCTCTTTCTTTCGTTCGAAAAGGCTCGGATTTGATCGAGGTTCGTAAACTGCTTGGAGAGCATACTAAGAACATTCTCCTCATGTCCAAGGTATGTATGTTACAAGAATTTCATACGTAACATGTTAAGAATTATGTCTGATGCATATATGTGGTAGGTTGAAAATCAAGAAGGGGTGGCGAATTTTGATGACATCCTTGCAAATACAGATGCGTTTATGGTGGCACGAGGTGACCTAGGAATGGAGATTCCGATTGAGAAGATATTTCTAGCACAGAAAGTGATGGTTTACAAGTGCAACATCCAAGGCAAACCTGTTGTCACAGCCACGCAAATGTTGGAGTCCATGATAAAATCTCCCCGGCCAACCAGGGCCGAAGCCACCGATGTTGCCAATGCAGTTCTCGATGGCACTGATTGCGTGATGTTAAGTGGTGAAACCGCTGCTGGAGCTTACCCTGAACTCGCGGTTCGGACAATGGTTAAAATATGCATAGAAGCTGAAAGCACGATCGATTATGAAGATGTGTTCAGAAGGATCATGAAACACTCACCCGTGCCTATGAGTCCCTTGGAAAGCTTGGCTGCCACGGCTGTTAGAGCAGCAAATTCAGCAAGTGCAGCTCTTATATTGGTGTTAACAAGGGGAGGAAGTACCGCGAAGCTGGTGGCTAAGTACAGGTCCGGGAAGCCGATTTTATCAGTGGTAGTCCCGGAGATAAAGACGGACTCTTTCGACTGGTCGTGCAGTGATGAAACGCCTGCAAGGCACAGCCTGATATTCCGCGGTTTGGTCCCGGTGTTATACGCTGGGTCTGCAAGAGCATCGCATGAAGAGACAACAGAGGAAGCTCTGGGGTTTGCCATAAAGCATGCCAAGTCAATGAAACTGTGCCAGAAAGGGGATTCAGTTGTTGCTCTTCATCGCATTGGAACTGCATCTGTAATAAAAATCTTGACTGCCAACTGAACATTTTTGAACTTTTCTTGGGAATTTTTCCTGATGAATAACGTGTTCTTCTCTTTTAATATCATTTTATAATTAATATTATTACATTGTAATTTTCTAATGTTCTCAAAGTCTCATCCATGGCCCATGATGCTGATGAATTTAGTCCATATAAAATGTTAATTTTTCCAATGGAAAGCATAAACCAATTACATATATGATAAATCAAATGAATACAGAAATTGACAACAAAAGCACAAAAGAGTTCCCCCCCCCCCCCAAGATTTCTCAAATTCAATTCAAAATAACCATCTACATGGTAGGCGAGGCAGGTTATTCAGGCAGCATAGTGAACTGGAGGAAGCTATGCTAATACAACCAAATTGTTAACGCACGTTAAGTCTCGTCTCTTTGAAGAGCGCTTCCGGATGAATTCTCGTCTCTTTGAGGAGCGCTTCCGGATGAGAACAAGCCGTTGAATGGCCATGGGATGGTGAACCTTCTTCCATTCCCGCTCCCTTCACCGATGCCATGAACATCGTTTCCAATTTCTCTTCGGTCGGTATTAGCCCTCGGCCTCTCGGAATCAAGTTTCGACTCATCGGCAGGCAATTGATATCTACAGACAGGACAAGAACTATGAAGCTCCAACCATGACAATATACACTCGCCATGAAACTTATGTTTACACGGCATTTCTTTTGCTTCCATGCCGGCCTCGAGATCATCCAAACACACGGCACATTGCGACATCTCCTCGACTTTCACAGTGGGCAATGCTTCGACAGCCTCTTTCTGCGCCGGCGGAGTGCCGTATCGGTTCGAGTCATTCTCCGCCAAATGTTGCAACAACAAGTCTAGACCGGGACTCATGAAATGATTGCCTAAAGACCTTGTATGGTTGGAGTTTGAGTTTAGGTCAGTCTGGTTGGAATCATAAGAACCATGAACGATGATAGTCCGATTGAAAGGATTGATCAAAATCACGCGCTCCCTTTCGTTCTCAGAATTCTCCACTTCAGATGCCATTCCATCTCTAATACCTTGAAGCAACTGCAGAATTGTTGCAGAGCTTCTCCTCCTCCTAATGATGGATTCAAATTCTCGGTCCAAATCAGTTCTTCCTTCATTGCGAGCTTCTCCATTACCATTACCATTGTTATTATTCTCTTCTTCAAAGTCGATACGATCGAATCTTCTACGACGTCGGGGATTACCAATCATGCCTAACAAGATAGGTGCCCACAAGGAGAGTGCTCGGTCGGATCCCATATCGGAATCCATGTCTTCACCGCCCCTTGTTGTACCACCGCTCATTTGTTCGATAAACCCACCTTGACAAAATGGGCATTTAATCTCGATTGCCACGATGGGAGTAACCACTTGAGAGCATTGGTAACACCAGTAAGTTTCTGCCATAGCTTCCTCCATCTTCTTTTAAGGCCTTTTTATCCTCCTTCCTCTGTTGAATTTTTCTTTTTCTTCTTTCCTGTTCCTTTAGGGATCCTGTCATAAGCAAGTAACATTAAGAACACATGTCCCAATCATTAGATTTCATACATATAAACATATCCCAGATTTCTTTTACCTTAGTTTTTTACTTGATCGTTGGTGGCAGTGAAATTGAACAAGAAAGGAACAAAAAGAGGGGAAGAAGAATATTCTTGGGTTAATTTTTTTTTTCTGGGTTGAAGAAAAGAGGAAGAAATGGATAAATATTTACTTATTTTTCCTTCCTCATTATAGGGCAGCTACATCTCCTCTTTCTCCGTCCCTTTAATTTTTATTTTTCTATTTTTTTGTCAATTTTCTAATTTACATTATTAACTATAACCTAAACGGATTAGATTTGGATTTGATAATATTATTAAGGGTGAATTTAAGTCTTAAAATATTCATTTTAGCTTTTAATTCGGATGGCTACTGATTTTGAAACATTTAAAACCTTTTGGGATTTTCATTCAAATCTTATTTTGGTATAAAATTTCTCTGATTAGGTTTTACAATTATTTTTTGGGTATCTCAAGGTGTCCCCAGGCTTCGCCTGAGACCAATCCTCCGAAGTACTATCGGGCACGAAGATGGGACCTCTCCCAAGAAGGTTTTCTGCATCTACATGGGTTCGAACTTGAGACCACTTGCTTAAACAACCAGAGCCTCTTCCACTCAGGCCAACCTTCGTTGGTAAGTTTTACAATTATTAATTTAGCTTAAATATACAAAATGTGACAAATGTATGCCAATCTTTCTAGTTTAGTGCTTAACGTTTATTTCGTTTCAGTTTGATTCCAAACGTTTCATTGTCATTTAAAATTAGTCAAACTATCAATGACTTTAATTTTCCTCCGTTAAAGAATTCAATATGGATCAAACTCGTCACAATCTGATAATTTTAAATTTTTTATATAAAATTAAAAAAATAAAATTATATATTTTTTAAAAAGAAAGCACATAAATTTTGAAATAACTCAAAACTTTGAAAACCTTCATTTCAACCCCTAGACTCAGGTAAAATTGGCCAAATAAGGTATATGATTTTCTTATTTAGCCTAATAGAGCAAGTAAAATTTTATTTTGGGATCTATGATATTTTTCTACAGTGACATAGAACTTGTCACGCCGAGTTAATGAGTTCTAATAAAAAATATTTTTTTATTCTAACTTTTTACCTCGATGTGGTAGATTTTAATAAAAATTTATATTTTATTGAAACTCGTCACCTCGGCGTGACGAGTTCAAATAATTGTTTTTTGAACTAGTCAACTCAGCGTGATGAGTTCCAATAATACTGTAGAAAATACCATAGATCCCAAAAATATAAACCGAGATGCCCTAATGGGCTAAATAAAAAATTCGTTATCCTTTTAGGCCAAAAGTGCCTTAAATCCACTCCAACCGTCGCCCTTTTCCATCGACGAAGCTCCATCCGACCTCACCTCTCCCCGACGACCAAAACCTCTATGAAATCGTGATTGATTAACGGTCGATCGACGGCAAATCAACGTTTTATACCCCGTGAATCTTAGGATGAAAATTGCAATCCCCAACGATTTCGACGGTCAATCGACGACAACTACGACGACTTATAACTAGGATGATGACAAAGGCTAAGTCGTCGTCGGTGGTCGTGGCCGGAAAGGACGATGGCAGCAGTTTAGTGTTAGGATTTGGGGATTTTAGGGATTTTGAGGTTTTTTTGTAATTTAAAAGAAATTAGGGTTTTTTAATAAATATAATAATTTTTTAATAATTTTTTTAAAAAATTAAAAATTACGAGATTGTGACATGTGTCACTTAATGGAGAAACCCTATAGTCCGTCACAGCTTGACTCATTCTAAGTAATGGAATGAAACGTTAGCCACCAAACTGGAACGAAATAAACATTATGCACTAAACTTGAAAAAAGGACATATATTGGGCACCTTTTATATATTTAAGCCTATTAATTTTGATAATAATCTTTTAAATGTATATTATTTTTTATATTAATTTAATATTTTTCAGTTATAATAATATCTCCTAACTACCATTGAATGTCAAAAAAAAAAAAGTTTGTAGGTTTGTTTGAAAATTTAAATGGTGATAAAAATTATTTTGAAAAGATAAATAATAGATTTTGAAATTGGTTTTATTAGATCATTGGAGGAGACCATACTATTAGTATGTTGAACCTTTAGATAAATTTGTGTCAACTTCGTGGAAACCCAATATAATTAGAAGAAAGATGAGTAAAATATGAATATTCTGATATTGATTTTATCGCGAATGATGATCAGTAACGAGCGATAATTAACTTCCAATGACGATCGAAAAAGTTTAGTGCTTATTGATCATTTTTAAAACCTAACGAAAAAAAGTCAACACATTCTTATAATTCAATACCTAAAGTAATATCTTTTGGATATTAATAGTCACACCAAAGCGACGTTTTTTGTCCGTATCATTATAATGATGAAAAGATCTATCAACGTTATTATATCGTTATAATTTAATTGTCCACTGGTGTAGCTGAAGTCAAAATCAAAATTTAGTGTTATAATTGAAACAATTGAAAGTTTAATAGTATAAACAATACACCATATAAAAATTAAGGATATCTGAAGTATCTTACCATATTTTTTGGATAAACTATGTATTCAGTTTTTCAACTATTCCTATAGTTTTGTTTTGATCACCTAATTATTTTTTTTACAAAATTATACTTAAACTTAGTTTTTTGTTATGTTTTAATTATCGTTGTTAAAAAATAAACAAAATTGTTACCATAACATTTTATATTTTTTATGATTATGTAATATTATCTTATAATGACACATCGAAGTTATGAAAATAAAAAAAGATTTATTTTATATATATTTTTTTGAAAAGGTTTTATTTATTTTAAGTGAAAATAGGATAAATTTTGAGAAAGAAAGTTTATTTTCATAAAACGTTAATTTATAAAGTAATAAATATATATTTATAAATTAGTTAAAATTCTAAATGTAATTTAATTAAAATACAATATTTATAAAATAATAGTTTTTATAATTTTATTTTAGTTATATTATCAAATATTAATTTGGGAAATCTATAAACCTTAATTCATTTTCATATATTTGAAACCACCGTCGTCCTCATTGCTATCACTACCACTGCTATTACTGTCGTCGTCGCCACCGATATTGTCTTTCGCTGTCGATTTAGTTTTTGTCGTTCGTCGGTGGGGAAAGATGATACCGGTAGCGGCGGAGGCAATAAAGACGACAAGAGCTTCAAAGCTATAAAAATAAATTATAGTTTATTAATTTCCCAAATTAATATGGGATCTAATTGTAATTAAAATAATATTATAAAAACTAATGTTTTATAAATATTGTATTTTAATTAAATTATATTTAGGTTTTTAACTAATTTATAATTATACATTTAGTAATTTATAATTTTATAAATTAATTTAATTGTGCTCATTATTAACGGTGCTCATTCGTGCTCGTCGAGCATGTCATCATCATCCCATAATATTATTAATTATTTTAACAATGGAGTGACTAAAACATAAGTAAATGAAAAGTTTAATTATTAACTTAAAAAAAATTAAAACTGAGTGACCAAATAAGAGTGAGAAGATATTTGAGTGAGGAATTAATGTATTTACCCTTATTATTTATTAATAAAATTGTTTAAAAATAACTAAATAAGCAACGAAGCATAGTTTAGGGGGGGAAAAGGAAGCGCAAAGCGGAAAGAACGAAAAAGCAGGAGTGATCGGCATCGTATCGGAGTTGGGATTTGGAGCATCGGAAAGAGAAATGAGCCGAGAAGAAGGCGGTGGAGACGCGGCTGCTAGTAACAATTCTGCAACAAAGCCATGGGTAGAGGAATTGCAGGTCATCGGAAGCCTTAAAGATTCGAAAGACTCAGCCATTCGCTCTGCTCGTTCCCTTCTCCATAACTCCGCTACCCATCTACGCTCTTTCCAGGTTTCTTATTTCTTTCTTATCATCTAACAATTACAATAGTAGTAATAGTTTAATATCATGTAATTCTTTAGTAATATTTTTTTTACAAAATGATTATGAATTTTTGGGTTTTGCAGGATTTTCTACCACAAGCATCTTCCCAGTATAAATCTTATGAGGATGCCTTTTTCAATAAACTTAAAGGTTTTTATTTTTAATTTTTCGTTTTAATTAATTTTTGAGTTTTTAATAACTGGATAGTTAGTAACATTTTTTTAATTACAAAAAAAGAGGGGGTGATGAGTGCAAAGGAACACCCAGGTGCAGCTGTTGGGATTACTATTACTGCTGCTCTCTTTCTTATGCGAGGTTTGTTCTTTCCTGATTGTCATTTCTCACTCGATAATTTCCTGCAACACTGGACTCTTCTCTGATTTGGAAATCAATGAAGAAAACAATGTTTGCAGCATTTTTTCTTTTGTATAAACAATTGAGGTTCCAAGTTCAAAAGATTTTGTTTCTGATTCTTATATATTTTCTTCATAATTGTCATTCTTTTTTCTCTATTGAAATGTGTTATTCGGATGCCGTGTATTAATTTATGGTTGTGATCAAACGGGTAAAACAAGTTAGTGCCATTAGAAGCTATGCTTGTGAGGTAACACAATCATTCTGTTGTTGTTAGTAGGTCTGCTCAGGATTCTTCTTTGGCAATTTTGAACGACGGGCTTCCACCATCTTGCTTTTCCCATAGTTGTTAAATAAGCTGGTCTCTTTTGTTCATATATTGTTCAGAAGTCATTTTCTTCTTGTGGACTTACATTTTGCGCCTTATAAATCAGAGAAAATTTATATGCATTTTTAAAGGTTCATTAAGTTTGGCGTTAGATTTAAGATTTTTCATGTCCTGTGATAATATGTACTTCTTGGCTTATGAGGCTAAGTTTCATCAATTTTTGCCAAGTTACATCCTCCTTGTGCCTCCGTTTTTCCCTTCTTTAGATCTCATGTGCAAGTTATGATTAAAGTATTCAATGTCTTTATATCTTTTCTTTTCACTTCTGTGCCTAACTTTCTGTTTACTTTGGTTTTTAACTTTAATGCAAACTGATACGGGGTATTGATTGCAGGCCCAAGAAGGTTTCTATTCCGTAATACATTGGGTCGATTTCAAAGTGAAGAGGTAGCTACCCTGTTAATATGATAGAAGTTTCCTTTACTTGGTAGAACCATAAGTAGAATGTTTACTTGCACGGTTGCTCCATATTTGCTGCACGACCTTCCATTTTGAATTTTTTCCTAAGCCAAAGCAAAATCCTCATGTTCTAGAGATTATGTGTCTTAATTTAAGGTTTGACTCTAAGCTCTCGTATACATTGCCTTTCTGCTAAACTTTCCTGCAGGCAAAATTTCTTAGTGCCGAGAAGAATATAAAAGAGTTAAGTCTATCTGTTGATTTGATGAAAAAGGAGAGCTCTAAGCTGCTTGAAAGGGCAGCTCTTGCAGAAAAGGATATGAAACGTGGCCATAAAGAGCTCATGTATGTAGTATGAACTTCTTTCATGTTCTGGTTCTAAATTATCATTAATTTTCTTGTTTAACTATTCCAAGTTGTATGTGTAGGAATGCTGGAGCTCAAACTCACCATCTTGCCAAATCAGTTTACAAGGTTGAGGCTGAAGCTGCAGGTATGGTCAAAACTCACCTTTCCTTGATGTATGTGTATATATAGATTGTCATCCCTTGATAAACAGTTGTTGCCATGTTGGGCCCTTTGGGAAGCCTCGACTGACTTTGATTTCCCATATCTCTAGTTTGTCATTTATTTACGTTTAATGACACTGGTGCTTTCAAAAGCCTCTCTTTTTCTCTCTTCTTAATACAATGAAGAAGGATTTTTTGTAATAGGAAGTTTAGAAACTGAAATTTTACATAAGTAATTCTAGCATGCAGCTACAATGTCAACTCTCCGATACCGTCATTTAGACCATATAGTTCGGTAAGTGATAGTAGCACTTAGATTGGACTGTGGTCAAGCATTTTACTTGCACTTGGTGTCAACATCAAGATGCACCTTGCGTTTCCAATTGCCACCCTTATCCACACATGTGGCATAAGGTCTTGCCATTTATAGGTCAAACATGAGTTAAAGAATGGGAATCAGTAGATTCTACTGATTGTTTCGAAATTTTATGGGATTATATTGTTTCTTTACATTTACTTTAATGTTGATAGATTTGATGGATGGATTGCGAGAAATCCCTGGCAGGGAGGCATTGAAACTACGAGCAGAGGTAAGTCATGCATTTTCTTTATTATCTTTGCAGTGCTTTTGTAGTTTAGAAACCTATCATTGACCAGAATTTTACTGATGGTGCGTCTTGATGTCGTTATGGATTAACTTTTATATTAGGTTGCTTCAATGGCATCGCTTTTGAGGCAGCAGAGGGTTTCACTTGACAAAAGGATAAGGAAGATATCCGAATTGGGGATACCTGTCTGATAACTATGGCAATGTCTCTTGTTATTATAATTGATGTTTTGGAAGGATCTTTGAACTGATGCTTGCATTTTCTAGATACCATGTTACTCGTAGAGCTTCAACTTAATTCGGCCAAAATAATATTACGAGTACAATTGAATTGTGAGACTAATTCATTTTCCCCCTTCTTTTTTGCCATGTATACTTTTAGACCACGTCAATTTGAATATACTTAAACGTTATTCTCTTAGATTTAAGTGTTTAAGAGAATTAGTGGTAAAAGGGAAGGTTATTCTCCTTAAAGGTTATAGGTTCAAGCAATTATGTCTACAGGATATGTGCATTGTGAATGGATATAGAAAATTTTTGAACAGATACTACCTTAGAATCATATCAGACTATTCAAAGAAAAAATTGTTATATATATGTATCAAATCGAAATGTGTAACGTAAATATTTCATCAAAAAAATTAACAAAAATGCAAGTCACCTGTCTTTTATTTCATCCTCTTTTTTTCTTCTTTCATCAAAATTATTAAGAAAAATCAGTAGAAGTATTAAAAGTTTAGAAATAACATAAAATTGAATGACTAAATTTTGGAAAGTACTTGATTTAGTCGCATTCATAATGTATGTGAAAGAAAATATTTTATATTTATAAAAAAATATTCATCAAATGATTATGGGGATTGAGTTTAATATATTAAAAGGTTATATCATATAAACAGATAAATGTACCGCTGTTAATATTAAAAGAAAAAATTTTAGTCTTTTCTTCACTGACTTGAAATTTGATTAAACACAAATATTATATAATCTTATGGGTGAAAAGAAATTACTCGAATTACCTTTTCTATGCTTGTATTAACAAGAAGTTTTAGAAAATGGCAATATCACATACTAAATTTTCAGTTACGTTAATTTTTAAATAAATTTATTAGAATTTAATTATTTAATGATCTCTTAGTTTGTATTAACTTTAACCATATAAGTTAAATTTTCTCTAACCGTTCGAAATATTTGATGATTCTTACTAAAAGATCGTAGTGCAAGTTAAATTAGATAGATTAAAAATTAGAAATAACGAGAGAAAAATAATAAAAGCTTAGTAGATATATAGGAAAGGGTTTATATAATCATGTAGAAACGAGAGGCTCATAGCAGCCAAATACATGGGAATTGTTGATCAGCTACGTATAAGATGGTGGCTTGGGCAAGCCCTTCACGATTCCACATAGTAGAGCGTTCTCGGGGATATTGTACTCATCCCTCAAGGATCTTTCTGGGGACAAAATACTGGCATAGAGCTGTTGTCCCAAGTATGTCCTCTCCCATCTCTCCGATCTGATATTCCACATGCCTGCATTGTCAAACGTTAAAAGGATGGCTGCCCATGACTTTGGGAACACCTGTATCGTGTGCCTGCTCACTGCGTCAAGAAGATTATAGTTCATCCTGTTCTGCGGACTCCATGTCCCTGGCTCAACCGCCACCGCAAAGAACGAATACCCATCGATGTGGTACGACTGGATGCTTTTCTCGTGGTTCTCAAAAATGATCTCCACGAAGTTACGGAATGTCATGTTCAGGACATTTGGTTGCACGCTGAGGTCTGTGGTGTTTTCTGGTTCATCCTTAATCACATCGTATTTGAAAACCTTGTCACCTACATTAAAGTATTCTGCCAACTTCAATGGGGTGGTTGGGTCGATATGCGAGACACCGTTAAAGCCGTAGCGGAGCTTGCCGTTGGCTCTGCTAACACTGTTAACCAGCCTGATAGTACGAGTGATGTTAATAGCACCGTAATGGTAGGATCCCTGAGGATTTGGCCTTGCAGCACTGGCAGTAAGATTCCATCGGAAGGTGCGAAACTGATTCAGTGACCAAGCCCAACCAACTGGTGCGGGAGGAAGCTCAGGTGAGGCTTCTCCCTTGCCGTTGGTGTAGCTAATGGTGGCAATGCCAGTCTGCACTTCCTTAAGAAATCGAGTGGATGCTACAATATAGTAGTCTTTAGGGTCTTGGTCGGCTGTAACGAGGACCGTAAAACACTGTCCGATATGCACATCCAAGGAATCATACACGTTTTGAATGGTGTGGGAACCCTCCATTTCCACAAGTTTCATCTTGTGGCCTTGGATCCTAAAGTTGAGGGAAGCCTTGAGTCCAACATTGCAGACCCTGTACATGTATGTCTTGCCAGGCTCCATAGTGAACAACGGTTCCTGTTTGACTCCAACTTTACCAGCTTTACCATTAATGAGGACACCATCAGGCCTGCCCAAAGGGCGACCACTGTCTAAGAAGCCCCTTAGTTCCTTGTGGCTCTTGGTATACCAGTCACCAATGAGAACGGTATAATCATCGGCGGGTTCATCATAAGGGACAGGAATGAGCGCACGACTGTGGATCCTAAGACCACCAAAAGCACCAGCTGCCCTATGCATTCCCATGGACGGATAGTAGATGTAGCTACCAATCTGGTCCTTCACCTGGTACTTGTACGTGAAGTTGGTTCCTGGGGGAATGGGACAGTTGGTTCCTGGCACTCCATCTTCCCATGAATTTTTCCTCTGTTGGATTCCACTCCTTCGATGTATTTAAAACGTTTGAAATTTAAAAAACAATCAATGATTGATATATAATCAGTTAGATATGGAGAATGCGCGTAATGTGAAAACAGCATACCATGTAAAGAGGAAGGGCTCATCAAGATGGTTATAGACATTGACGACAACATTATTATTGGTGGTGGAGTTAATATTAGGACCTGGGAATTCACCATTGATGAGAATAACTTTCTGAGCAACTCCCAACGGAGAGATGGTGCAGTAGGTGACGTTCCATGTGAAGTACAAGTAGGGGTCTTCACCGCTGACGCCATGCATTAATGCTTCCACTAAGAAGCACACAATAAGCTTAGGAATCACCCCGGAAGCCATCTCTCTTCAGTAATCGACTGCTCGGCTCTCTTTATAAATATTTATGTTATTATAATAAATGAACCAAACCCTTTCCTGTAATATTAAACCTACGTACCTACTTAGCAAACTGTGAGGAAGAAGATTCTTTGCTTCTTCCGCACTGCCTTACCTCTGCCTGTGTTTCTCACAATTTATAGCATAATTTGGGGATGCCCCATCTCCAAGATCCCTCCCGATCTCTATTTTTGGCCATCCAATCTCGCTGGTTTGTTATTCTAACTTAGAATACCGTCCTATTCAATTGCCTTACATTACTCTCAACATTTTTTCTTTCTTTTAGTTATTACAACTCAATTTATTTACCAATTTTTGTCCATTTAAAAACTAACAACCTTTTGTTTTTACTTATTTTTCTGTTTTTTTTTTCTAACAACCTTGGATGTCCATATCAGGCAGTGTTTTACGGTCCTTGTTACAGCCGATTAAGCCACCCCATTGAAGTTGGCATATACTTTAATGTGGCGGACAAGGTTTTCAAATACGACGTGATTAAGGATGAACCAGAAAGCACCACAAACCTCAGCATGCAACCAAATGTCCTAAACATGACATTCCGTAACTTTGTGGAGATCATTTTTGAGAACCACGAGCAAAGAATCCAGTCTTACCACATCGATGGATATTCGTCCTTTGCAGTGGCCGTTGAGCCAGGGACATAGAGCCCGGAGAAGAGGACGAACTATAATCTTCTTGATGCAGTGAGCAGGTACACCATATTGGTGTTCCCAAAGTCATGGGCACCCATCCTTTTAATGTTTGACAATGCAGGCATGTGGAATATCAGGTCTAAGAGATGGGGGAGGACATATTTGAGCCAACAGCTCTACGCCAGCATTCTTTCCCCTGAAAGATCACTGAGGGATGAGTACAACATCCCCGAGAACGCTCTACTACGTGGTATCGCCAAGGGCTTGCCCAAGCCTCCATCTTATACATAGCTGATCACCAACTCCCACGTATTTGGCTGCTATGAGCCTCTTTTTACTACAAGATTATATCAACCCTTTCCTATATATCTACTAAACTTTTATTATTTATCTCGTTACTTCTACTTTTTAATCTTTCTCGTTTATTTGCATTACAATTTTTCATTTACAATCATTAAATATTTTGACCTCATTTTTCTAACTTAAAAAAAAGTGAAAACTTGAATAGTTGGATTTAATACAAGCATATGAGAAATAACCAAATAATTGAATTTTAATAAATTTATTCAAAAAATAAAAATAATTTTTAAGCGTAGGCTTATTTAATCAAAATATATGAAATAAAATAAAAAAATAAGATAAAAGACATAGTAAAAATATTTCTTTTGGACAAGATAAAAGCGACTAGTTATATTAAAAATATATATCCAAATTACAATTAAAATTTACAACCACAATCATAAACTAAAATACATAATAAGAACATTTTCCTACAACCATTAACACAAAAAACTAATCAAATCACACAATGACCATACAATGAAAAATGTTATAAACTTAACCAATTAAACTCGAATTAGAAAGTAAATATGAACATATCTGACTTATTGGCCCGGACATGACCAAATGAAGGGGAAAAAAAAGGCACTTGTGAGGGACTTAAATCTATGTGATATAGGTTTTCTATAATCATATATTAGTTGCATATCGGTTTTTTAAGTATTTAAATATAATTTTTTTGAATAGTGTAGGATATTTATAAGATATTATATGTTTAATTTTTTTTAATTCATTGATATTGTACAAATCTTGCAAATGTAATTATTCAAATTAAAAATATCTAAATAAAATAATACTTTTTATTATTAAAACCGCTTAATAAGTTTAATATTTGATTATAATCTTTATCAATTCTCATTAAGTAAATAGAATTGAGAATTTCACATGAGCATTGATGTTTCCACCCGATATATTTTATATGTATGTATATGTTTTAATAAATAAACTTATTGCTTTCTATCTCATTTTTTCATTAAATTAAAACTTCATCGACCTTGTTACATACAAAATCTATGTAAGTTTATATAAAATTTGTGAATAATCAAATATAAGTTTAATTCAGTTAGGAATGCAACCTCTAAAAACTCTGGTCATCACAAATTTCACTTATAAATACAATCTCTTAGCTCTTCCATCACACAACTCTACCTAAAATCGACACTAAATAAAGGCAACTTTAGTTTTATCATAATGTTTACTCCATCCCCTTGAATAATTAATTCTTCAACTTCCCTACTCCTTTTTATTTGTTTTATGAATTAATTACATCATATGTCCTCAAAGTATGAGCCTCATTTTAAATTAGCCCTTAAACCTTTAAACATTCCAATTTTATCCCCAAACTATGACTATTGTTCTAAATTAGTCCTCAGACTTTTTAATGTTTCAATATCATCCACAAATTATGTCCTTCATTCTAAATCGATCCCCAAACTTTTTAAATATTCGAATTTCATCTCAAACTATATGTAAATACTAATCACATCCATTGTTAATAAAATCGGTAGGCCAAGTTATATTATTATATATTTGAAAAAAAATAAAATTTTAGGCTAAATTATGGTTGAAGCTAATCACATATTTGGATGAATTTATGATGAAATTAAAATCTATAAAAAGTTTAAGGACTAATTTAAAAGGAGGGTCGTAAGTTAGAAATGAAAATGAAATATTTAAAAGTTTAAGAATAATTTTAAAATAAAAATCTTAATTTAAAGATAAAATTAAAATATTCAAAAAGGTGTATTACGATTTAATATAAAAATTATAGTTTTTAAACTCTCTCTCTCTCTTTTTAATTTTTCAAGATTAGTTGTCTAAAATCTAAATAAGCCTCAATGGTCGTGGTCGTGAGTGGTGTAGCCAGCCAGCTACCGAAAGCATGGGCCCCCTTAAAGGCTGTCGGACTCCAAAATATCATCAACTCCAATTACTTAAAACGCCAAAAGCCCCCCCCCCCCCCAAAAAAAAGTAGAAAAACTCGTTATCTTCTTCTCTGACTTCAATCCAGCAGTGTACTTTGTCCCCGTTCGATTTCCCGCAAGAATTTTACTATCAGATCAGAAGATTCATCTCAGATCCTTTGCCTTTGTTCATCCAATCCATTAGGAGAAAGATGAGGGAGATTATAAGCATCCATATAGGCCAAGCCGGGATTCAGGTCGGGAATTCATGCTGGGAACTCTACTGTCTTGAACATGAAATCCAACCCGATGGGATGATGCCCAGGTTCTCTTTTTGTGATCAATATTGAAAGCCCATTTTTTTCTAACAAAAAGTTATGATTTTTCCCGTTTGATTGCAGTGACACCTCTGTTGGTGTGGCACACGATGGTTTCAACACTTTCTTCAGCGAAACCGGTTCAGGTAAGCATGTGCCTAGAGCTGTGTTTGTGGATCTGGAACCCACTGTGATCGATGAAGTTAGGACTGGGCCGTACCGCCAACTTTTCCACCCTGAGCAGCTTATTTCTGGCAAGGAAGATGCTGCTAATAACTTTGCCAGAGGCCACTATACAAGTACTAAACACCATCTCAATCCATTTTCCTAGCTTCTTTTGGCAATCTTTAACGTTTTGATTGGTTTAATCTGATGCTTTGTGTTTTGCAGTTGGGAAGGAAATTGTCGATCTCTGCCTTGACCGGGTTCGGAAGTTAGCTGATAATTGCACTGGCTTGCAAGGGTTTCTGGTGTTCAGTGCTGTTGGTGGTGGAACTGGTTCTGGTCTGGGGTCTTTGTTGTTAGAGCGCTTATCGGTAGATTATGGAAAGAAGTCAAAGCTTGGGTTTACCATCTATCCTTCACCTCAGGTAACTCATGGATGATGCTTTTGCCTCTGAATCTTTTTGGTAATTGCAAATTTTGTTTTGAGCATGGTTAATTGTATAATTTGCAGGTGTCGACGGCGGTTGTGGAGCCTTACAACAGTGTTCTGTCTACTCATTCCCTTCTGGAGCACACCGATGTGGCTGTGCTCTTGGATAATGAAGCAATTTACGACATATGCCGCAGGTCACTTGATATTGAGAGGCCGACTTACACCAACTTGAACCGTTTGATATCTCAGATCATATCATCCTTGACTACTTCTTTAAGGTTCGATGGAGCTATAAATGTGGACGTTACAGAGTTTCAAACCAATCTGGTTCCATACCCTCGTATCCATTTCATGCTCTCCTCGTATGCACCTGTTATCTCAGCCGCGAAAGCATACCACGAGCAATTATCGGTTCCTGAGATCACGAGTTCTGTGTTTGAGCCCTCGAGCATGATGGCAAAGTGTGATCCTAGGCATGGGAAGTACATGGCATGCTGCCTCATGTATCGTGGAGATGTTGTCCCCAAGGATGTTAATGCTGCTGTTGCTACTATCAAAACGAAGAGGACCGTGCAGTTCGTTGACTGGTAAGAGAATTTCGTATATCTATGTTTTGTTCTGTAGGAGGTTACGGAATGCTAAGGGGTTAACACAAGCATTTTTGTTTGGCTGTGCAGGTGCCCGACTGGCTTCAAATGTGGTATTAACTATCAGCCCCCAACTGTTGTACCCGGAGGTGATCTTGCTAAGGTGCAGCGAGCTGTTTGCATGATAAGCAACAACACAGCAGTGGCCGAGGTGTTTGCACGCATCGACCACAAGTTCGATCTCATGTATGCAAAGAGAGCTTTTGTGCATTGGTATGTTGGTGAGGGCATGGAAGAAGGTGAGTTCTCTGAAGCCCGTGAGGATCTGGCTGCTCTGGAAAAAGATTACGAAGAAGTTGGTGCTGAAGGTGTCGATGATGAAGAGGATGCCGAAGACTATTGATGTTCTCATGCAAAGATATTTACTTCGAAGATCGGTTCATTGTCCAAGGGTATTCTTACCCCCTTTCCGGTGCCCCTCCTTATGTGTTATCTTCCTGTGTGTTAAATGTTTATTTTCCTTGCAAATGTTGCCTTCAATGCTATCAATGAAGTAATATTTATAGTTGTGTAACTGTTAAATGCTATTTTGTTATAAATGTTCTCTTTTTTATGAAATATGTTTCACAAGCAATAAATTGCTTTATAATCTGTCATTCTGTCTTCTTGTTCTGTCTATGTTTCTTGAGCAATGAATTGCCTTATAATCTATCATTCTGTTTTCTCGTTTAGTACAGTCGTATATTTGAATCTAGCACTCATGCTCGGATATAAGTGAAAAAAGAGTCGGGTATTAAATATGTTCCGATGTCAACTGATTAGAGTTGGCAACAGTTATGAGGGTTCGCTATTCATTTTATGATTCATATACGGAGTTCGTGATTTCCTAAGAGTATAATGTGTGATATATTTAGTTGGTGTATAACTGAAACAGTAATAATTTTCATTTCAAAAAGTGAAAATTGTTGTTTCAAATTCTTTCTAAAGCAAACACTAGGAACAGACAACCTCAAGTTACTTTCTTTCATGGCAAAAACACAGAATCAGCTTTGGCAGAACAAGTGGCAAAGCGTAGGAAGATCCCAGATAACATCATTTGGATCAAATGCACTCTGAAGGTACTCATTTACCCCATTCATTGCATATAAATTTGCTGATATCTGTCTTTCTACCTTCAAGCGTTCAAATTCCTGAAGCTCCTGGTGAATTCCTTGTGGCAAAAGACCAGCATCTTGTGGCAACTCCATTCCTTGTCCTACTGGAATCTGATCAAACCCTGTTGCGATAGGCCAGACTTGACCGAATTGTGACGGGGCTGGTTCAAGTTCCCCGGGAAAATTGCTCAACTCTGGCCTGTACACGCCATCAAACATCTGGATCGAATTACACATAAAACCATCATCCTTGATGCGGGACACAGAGCTACCAGTGCTAGCGGCATTACCGATACTTCCATCACGGCTAACAACAGTACTTGCTTTAATCGTGATTTTGTTGGAGTTGGTGTTATTATTACAAGCCCCTTGCCTTAAACTCCTCTTATGATCAAGCAGATTCCTAATCTTCAATGAGAGACGAGAATCAGTCGGAACATGAGTCACGAAATTGGTCCGGGTATTCGAACCCCGGAGAAGGCAAGCGGCTTCATCATAAGCTCTAGCAGCTTCCTCGGCCGTGTCGAACGTCCCCAACCACATCCTTATCTTCTGCGTGGTGTCTTTGATCTCGGCAACCCATTTCCCAGAAGGCCTCTGCCTTACACCGACAAACTTGTTCCTCCTAGCTGCAAAGCTCTCCTTCAATTTGGCCTTAGGCTGGCTTTGAGCTTGGTGGTGTTCCATTGGAGAGAATGGACTCTGGGGGAGAGAAGGAGGTTTGGTTTTTTATATGAAGGGTGAGAGGGTTTTGAAGTGGTGGGAGGGTTGTCTCTCATTGTTGTCTGCATGTTGGGTATTATTATTTGTTCCATTGTTAGTGACTGAAATCTCAAGGTTGGGTTGACCAAATCATTTTAGATTTTGTCATGGGATGACACTTGGAGAACCTAGGCTCCCACTAAAACAGAATTTACCCTTTGGAAGGATCCAAAGAGGAAGAAACACCAAAATACAGTCGAATCTCAAGGACGCGTCCTTGCAAAAAAAAATTTTAACTTTTAAGTACCACGACGACAATACTATGATTATATTTTCCTGAAATGACGATGCTATGAGTAAATCTTATAGTATAACCATTACTTGCATAATCTAAGGCTAAACCTTCAATTTAGGTTTCATCTTTTCCATCATATATAGAAAATGGAATAATGAACCCTTTGCCCCCTTAACTTTATCATTTTAACTCTTATTTTTTTAAGTAAAAACTTAACACATATAACGAAAAAGTAATATCGTTAAACTGGCATCAATTATTTTTTCTATTTATATCATCTCCAAAATAAAATAAAAAGTAAAAAAACTAACTAATATTCATACTAAAATACTATAAATTTTCAATCTTCATCTAAACAATATAAAAATAAATAAATAAATAACCAAATTGAGCTAAATTTATAATTTATTTGTAAATAGCAAACGTTAAAATATGAGAAAACCGATAACCCATTATATTATTAATGATCAAAATTGCAATATAATGAAAGAATAACAAATCCAAATCGGGAAATCTGTGTAAAACTGAAACGAAGAGACCAAAACTGCTTCAAGAACATTGCACTTCACCAACCACACCAAAATCACGACTCGCTTCTTTTTCTAGACTCAATACCCTTATCATAAATAGATACCTTATACTATGCACACTCTATAATAGAATAAAATAAATTTAATTTCAATCACACTTATGACTTCTTCACTCTCAGATCCAACCTCTTTAGCTGCCTTGCGAATCGAACTTAATGCAAAAATGTCGGAAAAAGAATTTTGTATATAAAATATGCTTCGACACGCAAGAGATGCCTGTCAAGCCAATGTACTTGAACTATGTGGAGAGGATGGACTGCAAAGCAAGCTGTTGTTGCGGCTGCAAAGATGACCAAGTTGAGGCCAATGCTGCTGGTGGCAAAGTCTGCTGAAGCTGCTTCAGTAGATACACCATCCGGCTTGCGGTTTGTTCAGTGGCTAGATCCTTATCACATAAAACCTACAAAATAGCATATAGTTCATCAAATGGCACCCTAAAACCAAACTACCAGATAAATAAGAACCGAGCACAACATAAACTTTTTATTTTTAGTGGCGCTGTTTGTTCAGAACAAGCAATTCAAATAAGGAATCGCCTTTAGTTTAAAATTTTGATGAAGTGACTTGAAATTTTTACCTCAGCAAATACTGCAACGATCTTAGGAAGGAAATGATGGTCAGGACCCAAAACTTCATTGTCCGATCTGAATGCACATTAGATATATTGTTACATCATGGGCAGTAACAGCATATTGACGGGGGAAATGAACTTCATAAATGGGATCAGTACGATTAGATAATAAAAGGCTGATCTTACCTCTCAACCATTGAACAAAGTTGTTCATGAACAACTTTGGCTTCAAACAGATCACCTTTTATTGGCAAGCAGTTTAACCATGCAGGAACAACCTACAAAATACAAAGGGATGTATGTTCAAGGCAAACCGTCATTAAGAAAACAAAAGCAACCAGTTACATTGTAAATACAGTACTAAAATCAATCTGTAGTAGTAGAATATCTAAAAGTAATAATAAATGGAATTTGTGTTAACAAGATGAATTTGGGGACTTAACACAATAGCTCAGAAATCTGGCATTTGTTTTAATGCACAGAACAGATTTTTCCTTTCATATCAAATAATTAACTTGGAAAGCTAATTTTATTGCCTGCCATACCTGAGTTGCATCAATACTGTCGCGGTGGAACAGGCATATTTTTCCTAAAGCAGAAACAGCATTATCATTGGCCATAACATTTTCAGGTAGCAAAGCATTAGGATGTCGTATTACAGCATTTAACCTTGATAAAGCCTCTGGAAGAAGTCACAAATAATGTTAATTCTTACAAGAAATAAACACCTTATAGACTATCATGCAAATATTTACCTCCAACAAGTGGCTTAAATACAGGTCCACCAAATTCCGCACAAACACCAAGTCCATATACTGCTGCCTGAACATAAATCATAAAATTGATTACAATCTCAACAATATGGTGAATTGGATGCCAGAAGAAAAATACAGACCTGTCGCACATCTGGGTTCTCATCATTGCAAGCCTCCAACAAGAAAGGAAGATACGAGTCATAATATCTGTTTCAAATACATCACAGTAATTGCATCAAACGATTCTCTATGATAGTAATTAGTATAATAAAGTAGGCAGCTTACTTTAAAGCTGCTTCACGACAATGTTCCGCAACATCATCAAAAATACAAATTGCAACTCTTCTTTCTTCGGCTGCCTTATCTTTTCCCTGTGTTTTAGACACAGAGGGGGGGGGGTTGAGACAGAGAGAGATAGCATACTTCTGGAAAGAACATTTTTATTCTGGATGTTCCTAAACAATTGATATTAAAACAGAAATACTTGCCCAGAACTTACCCACATAGGTGAAAGATATGGGGATAAGTCATCAAAGAAAGGCAAGAAAGAGGCTTTAAACGTTTTGATCAAAGTTCCCAAGATTTCACCCACCTGGAAGCAGAATGCTTGTTAAGACAAGAAATAGGAGGTTTTAACAGATTGCAAAGGGAAAAGGATAGGTAAAAGATATTGCTCAGCACTTACGTGCTGTATCAAATATAGATTTTATTTTAAGACTTACTTGGTCAAAAACTTCTTCCTCTTGTTCATTTTCCTCTTTAATTAACTCTCCCTCCTCAGCATCAAAGTCTTCAGCTTTGGCTCTTTCAGCTCTCTCACATTTTCTGCTCGCACTAGCTGTAATTACTTGTTTGACCTCATCCACAATAGATCTAACCTGACTTTCATCTAGAAGAGGACCAGAGATCTGAAAGAAAAGAACTCTCAAGACATTCGAATTTAAGACTTGGTAATTAATATATATTATAAGCAATGGCAACAGCAAAGAGAATTAGATTAAACCACAGAACATTTGTCAAAGGTACACTGATGCATGTGAACTAAAATAATTAAATGAAAAAGGTCATGAATGGAGCCCTGAAATGCTTTTCCGAATGCTTAATCACATATATCGACCAAAAGAAAAGGAAACAAGGGATCAGAAACAGCCCAGGACAATACTAGGATTCAGTTTTTAACAGACACGACAGGTTAAAATTCAGTCATTAGTTCAAGTTATTAGCTGATACTAAAACAGCATATTAAGTTAAAGTAAGCATTCTAGTTTTAATTTATTTATCAACACTTTTTGCTTCTAACCATCAGTCGCCCAATAAAATTCATCCAAAGCAGAATTATTTCAAGCAGATAACAGTGAACAGAATAGACAATACAAAACTAACTTCATTTAATAATAGCACAAACCTGTACACATTCGTTCAACGCATCTAGCATGCTTGCACATATCTCCATATCAGGTTCCTGCAAGAATAAGGTAATTTAAGTTTTCATCTATGGAAAAAACAGACCAATAAAGCAAGCTTCAAAACATGAATACTCCTAAAAAACAATAAGAACCTTGTGTAATGCCTCCACTAGAGCCGGAATAATATAATCAGACAATTGCTTAATATAAGTCTCACCATGCCCTTGAGCTATTCCCTTCTCCACAGCTAATTTTGCAGAACACAATAACTCTGGCATGGCTACAAACAAAAAAATTGGCCAAGACAATTTGATAAAAGCCTAACAAACTTGCAAAATATTTTAAGAGAAAATGTGTAATACTCTTCTACCTGAAACAGCTGCTTTTCTAACTTCTTCGTGGAAATAAAATTTAAGAAGAGGAACTAGAGTTGGAGCAACCTGCATCATATGTCCACCTTTTTGTTAGTATAATATTGCAATAAAGTCTAGAATAATAACCCAATACAATGAACTGAAACACACCTGATCAATCCACGGAAAAAATCCTTCCTTCAACTCATCAGCATAGCAACAAAGCATGTTACATGCTGTTGCCTTTTCCTCCAGGACACTAGTCTTGATCACAATTCTTTTATCCCCAAGGATAATGGTTTCCATACTGTGAATGTAATGCCAGACATAATCATTAGATACCCCCAAAAAACATAGTGCAAAATAACATCCCATTCCTCAAAGTCAATCACTAGACCTCGACGAACACAGCCAAGCCAGAACTCTTTGTGTCCATGAGGTGTACCAAATAACATTGCGCAAAATAAATTCCTATTGCTATAAGACAACAACTGGGTGCTAGGATATTGTGTGTCCATGAAGTGTCTCTGCACATGCTAACATGAGTTTGTGTGTCTCAGATTGTCCATTTTGGCAGGAACATATAGAGAAGTAGAAGGGGGGAGTAGATATACATGCATGTATCAACATATATGTTGCTTACTGGCACAACTAGTTAAAACATTAAAAATACATTACCTTTCATCATCAGAGTAATCGATATCATTATCTGAATCTGTAGATGTAATAGTTACATCTGGCTTCAGTTGAGAAGACTGGAGAAGGGGAGGCATCACAACACTCATGTAAGGGAGGAAATCTTGTCCCAAACACTTGCAGAGTCTGGCCCAAGCCTGTAATAAAGGTGATACAATTATAAGCAAGGACAAACAAAATGTGAAAGATATTGTCTAAGCATTTTCTGTATTATAGGCATACTTGCAGCATGTAACTTGTTGTTGGGTCGTCTGTTTCCATTTGGGATCCTTGCAATGACATAAGCACTTCCATTACCTTGCAAGAAGGAGAAAAACAAGACAAAAGGTAACAATAAAATTAAAGTAAGTTTGATTCCAGAACAAGGGCAGCAGTTGTGCATTCTCATAGACCAAAAAGGCAATCATAAATTAAAAAATCAGTTTGGTCCCATAACAAGTATATGAGGAATGTGCATGTGTGTGTGAAAATTCAATATTTCATTTTTTTTATAGGAATTGAAGGCCTCGTTAAAAACCTCCTTCTTGATTAAAGGATCTTGTAAAGAAGCTCCTTAATCAGCGGAAGGAGGAAAAAAGTGCCTTAAGATTTCATTAACCATAAGATTCAAAAGATACAACCAGGTCGCCACCCCCAACATAAATAAACAACCGAAAAAACCCTACACAACCACACTAACACAGCGGAAACCATCTATGCTACAACAACAGTCACAAGAATGACTGACCAGACTTAACACCTGAACTTAGCCCGACGACCAGCACACAAACATAATAGCTAAAACAGAGACCGAATAACACAACCGACTCAATCCATAAAAGACAAAATCAAAAACAAAACCCTGAACATCCGCACAAAAAGAGTACAAGAATCAGCTTCCGCCTTACTGCCTCTTCTTGCTCGACTTGTCGACAGAGGCCAGCCGAACTACCAACTCCATATAGAAAAATAGAAAGAAGTCACCTGATAGTTCCGCAACTTCCACTGCCTTGACCTACCTCTGAGAACTCTTGCTTCGACTTTAACGAGGCTTCCTTTGATATGCCGAAATTTTTTCTTGAAAATTTCGGAGAGAACTAAAAATTGCATTTCTCTCCTCCAAAATTCTTTGTTTCTGGCGCCCAGTATTAACCTCAAAAGCACGTGCAGGTTCACACATTTTCCTGCTATCTTCTTATGCCCCTCTCTTATCGTGAACCAGCACTTCCTCGTGTACCCCCACTATCTCGGATTTCGAAAGCCCCATCCCCTGGCCAGCAAGCACTTCCTCGTGTGCCACCATTACCTTAATTCCAATAGTAGGCGTGATCGACACAATTGGCAATTGCACGTTACCTTTGATTACATCTTTAGACCCAACGTGCGCCCTACTAGCACTCTCCAAGGCCTGAAAATTCCCACCACTTTGATAGACATGCTCCCACACAGCTGCCCCACTAACCGAATCCACAAACTGAGACTCCAAGGACCTTTTAGAATTGAATAATAAATTGGTCTGCCGTAAGCCACCATTTCTTTTTGAAGATAAACGCCTACCACTAACATCAAGAAACATGTATTGCGCATTATCAACTTTAGAAACACACACATCCAATCCTGAGGCCACGTGTATCCCACCAGCTCCCTCCAAAATATTAAGATCTCCACTCCTCTGGCCAAGCGAATATGCCCCATTACAAACTGTCGGGAAAGTGCCACTCTTCTGGCAATCAGTCCCATGCGCAGCTACCCCATTTTGGATTGTCGAGGACACAGCTTTAACGGCCCATACCTCTTCGGAACAAGGGCCATCTCCTGCTACCTCGGCACCTGAACCACACGTTCCACCCCCAATATGTGTGCCATCACTAGACGCTCGAGTTTCAAGCTGAACTTCCTTAATATTAGTGGAATCAGAATTAACTCGTGAAAACGTTCCAGCACAAACCGCTATCTCGAAAGACTTTTCTGGCGAGACACCATCGAGCTCCCCCTCCGTGGGAAGCGGGGAAGCAACTGCCGTATCCAATGCAGACGAATCCTCTCAGACGAAATCTGGGCTAAAGCAAGGATCTATCTCGGACACATATACTGTAAAAGATTGATCCCCGACTTTCAAAACAAAGGATTCTTCCACACGAACTTTATAGTTCGTAATGATCTGAAAACATGCCCTATCAAAAGAGCCAGGATATAAGGTCCCTACGTCAATTGAGATAAGAGCTCCCCATTTATCCGCAATGCTTCTAAAAGTAGAATGGCTCTACACAAGTGGTGGGATCCCTCTGCACGATAACCATGCCCGTCGGCTGCTACACTGAAAGTTTTCCGACTACAATTCCACCTTGTCAAAGCATTTATTCAACGCTCCAATCTGATTTTTTAGAGCGTTGTCCCTACTCTCTTCATCTTCATAAATGATCAGAATTGCTAAACCACTTAACCTCATAATTTTCGGGCCTAAAATGCCTTCCTTGTGCATGACAGCAGCTAACTCTTTCATTCTAATAAATTTTCTGCACCAACCAACCAAACTATCTCTAAGAGTAATTAGCTTATCCTCATCAACTACACCAATAATGGGCGCCTCTTTGACATCCTCCTCTCTACTCTTGATCACAGCTAAATTTGATCCAGAAAACTTTTTCCTCCAGAAAACATCACGAGGTTGAAATCTAGCCATAAAAACTCTAACCTTTTTATCTTGAATCCAAGATCTATCGGCACAGATGATAGCCCTCCTCGCGTCCTCCACTCTAGAAAATCGGACAAAACCGAACCTGCTACCTCCCTTGCTTCTTTTGCTAGGGATGAAAGAATCGATCACCTCGCCATATTTATCGAACAATAACCTAAGACCTTGATAATGAAGACAATCTAGAATATTGAAAATAATAACTGAAACGCAATTCTTCCCACCAAATTTTCTCAACTCGGAATATTTCATTAGACTTAACTAACTACATATTTGCTATAATCAGTGGAAAAAATCGATAAGAGAACAACCTAATGGACACCTCCCTCAAATTAACATCTAGCACACCCAAATACTTTTGAGAAACAAGAAATGCTTTTTTAGGGCAGTGAAGGTAAGATACTAGCTCCACGTTGCACCATTTCACTCCCTAACTAAAGATATCACTAAACTCAAATACCTCAACCACCATGAATTTAGAGATATAAGAAAATAACTAGAAGAGGAAACGAAAACAAATTTATGCAGGACATGGTCTTTTTACACATTAACCAACCTCCTTAGCATCATTTCTGAACTTTTCCTTTCCAACAGCCATTCCAACAAGACTAATACACTCCATGGATTTGGCACGAAGCATACGGTTAGATTTGTCAGTTGCATTGACCAAAATAGCTTTCAGGTAAGGCATAACTGCATCATAATATTTTTGGAAGTGCTCCTGCAAACCCCCATATTGTCAAACTGAGTCATCATGATACAATATATGAAGTAATAATCAATATAGGTTCTTTTGGGTAAAATTGATACCTGAGATGAGTCAGCAACTGATGCCAACGCAGTCAAGGCACCTTCTTGCACCATTTGCTTCCCATTCTGCATTATATAACTTGTATTTAGACCAACAAAAAAAGATTCCTCGACTCATTAAGTTAATCCATGCATTCTTGATGTAACAATTATAATTCCAACCAACACACCTGTAAAAGCACAAGCAATTTGCTAACTATTCCATCAAGGTAAGGTGTTAAAATTTCCGGAGTGCAGTTCTCACTGAAGTTGAGCATGGCTGAAGCAGCATGGGCCTGTTCAGTCACAGAGACATATATCAAAATAAACAATAAATCCTTGAAAATACAAGTACCTAACTGGCAGAAAATAAGGTACAGAAAATTCTTTACATTATGATAAAACTCCTAATTTGTCACACAAAAGAGAATAAGAACATCAATTAAAATATATAAACAAATAAGAATATATCCACTCAAATAACTTTTTACTAAAGGGATTCACATAGAGACGCCATGACAACTTTACAAGCAAGAAATTAAAGAAACAAGAGGGAATATACATGGGAGTGGGGGGGGGGAAGTTATCAATTACATCACAGATGCAAACACAGACATAAAAGAGAAAGATAAGATGAACGAATTATTTTATGTAAAGCAACAGAGGGAAAATAGCATGAAACAAACCTTTAGCAACGGTCAGAAGCATAATCTAGCATCCTGAAAGTAAATTATATACTTGTGACTAACCTGTACTCTAGGATTTTGGAAATCATCCATAGCAGCAGCTAATGCAGGCAACACTCTCTGGTGATATTGGTTCTGCAAGTCTGGACCCAAGTCCGTTGATAACTGCCCAATTGCATTAATAGCTGCCCACCTCACACGGGGGTGGGAATCATGAAAAGAATTCAAGACCATAGAAACCACTTGTTCCAGATTTTTAACCATAACCTGCTAGTCCAGCAACAAATTAAAATGCAAGAAAAATAGGGAATGCAACCAAACTCTTGACACAATGTGGTCCCATTTTTTTCTTTAAACATAAACTAAATACTCCAAATGGCTAAAACTATTAGAATCGACAGGTACTAAACAAACTTTCACCCTATTGATCAAGTATTAAATAGAAAACACCAAGAAACTCCATTAATAATGCATTTACAGTCCTACTTAGGACTATGCATCATGAAGGAAGTAATTTTTATTAGTTCATTTCAGGATATGATGTAATAATAATTTTATTAGCAAATACTAGTACACACAAAGTACATAGAACAAGACTATACCTTGGAACAACCCTCGGCAATCTGAGCAAGGGCAATCAAAGCAGCATGGTGCTTTTGCCACTCAGGAGCAGCCAAATAAGCTGGCAACAGCTCTGATGCGACAGGGACAATTGTATTTCCGCCTAAAGCCATTGGCAGGCGGTCCAAGCACTCCTGACCGACAGAATAATTGCTAGTTTCACCAGCATCCTCATCCTTAGTTTCCGCAGTATGCCAGGCTGCATCATCCTCAATATCCAGCAACATTTTCATCAAAATTGCAAATAACCTACTAATAACTTGCGGCAGCTTTCTCATCATCCCAGGAGCACGTTCCCTCGCTTCTGTCAATGTAATCACAAATTCTATTGCCAAGTGGCGAGTACCTTCCTCGAGTGATTGGCTCTCTGCAATCTGCAGCATAGAGCCCACCACGTCAACGAGCTGTCTCCTAAGAAACTGGGGCTCAGTCTCTGCCAATTCAATCAGCAACTCCAAAGCCTCCTGAGCAGTAGCCTCGTTACCGTTAAGAGCCCCCGTCAACGTCTTCACCATTGCCGGTAAAAGATCCTGAAACCCATCACGGTCAGATGAGTTGGCCAGACACTGAATAAAATTAATGACAGCATCCAAGGCGGCGATTTTGACATCCTCATTCGAACTTTCACTCAAGCACTTCAAAAAGACAGCATGCAGATCGTTTACAAAAGGAGCCAGCACATCTCCAATATATTGACTCAGCTGCGCAAATATCAGAAAAGCAGACTCCTGTAATCTAGGAGAATCGGAAGAGACACATTGAAACATAAACGGCAACAGCTCAGGCCACCCGTTCTCTGGCAAAATACTGGAAGCAAGCTCCGCGATTGTATCACACAACTTTTTAGACAAAGTTTGAGTAGTTTCAGTTTGGATTTGAGACAAAAGTACGGATTTTAGAGAGGACTGAGTGGAAATGTTGAGACGAGGCCAGATATAGGAATCGCCACGTGTCAATAGCTTACGGAGGAGAATAGTGGCCATGGCACGAGCCTGCGGTTGAGCGCAGACCTGGAGGAGGTGGGCAAGGCGGAGGCAGAGGGCATCAGGATCAGATTGCTTGCAAAGGTGGAACAAAGCCTCGGCGTGAGAACGTTGTTCGTTAGAGGAGGACATCAAATGGGAGATTAAGGTTTCGAATGCAGCCGGCTCGGATCCTAAGATGATGGATAGCTGGGATTGCTGGTCCATGGCGGCAACGAAGAAGATGATGAAAATGATAATTGATCCCTCTCTCTCTCTGTCTCTCTTTCTTCTGTTTTCTTCGGCGCCTATTTGTTCGCTGAGAGGCTCCGAGAGGGGTTTTGGGTGTGGAAATCAGAATTCAGGGATTTATATAGTTTTAGGAGAGCTAATTAGGGTTGATTAATAGATAAATTATCATTATTTTAAAACAATAATTTTTATTTTTAAATTCATTTTCTACCATCTACAAAAATCTATAACACTTGATTAAATCAGGTGAAGAAGAGTCCTTTGCCGATTAACGATATTTTAAAATTAAATTTTACGAAAAAAATGATTTCAAAAGATTTTTATCTTTATTCAGATATTTGATTCAATTATATCTAATTAAAATTTTATAATTATCTGACACCAAAATTTAATATTTATATTAAAAGAAATTGAATAGCTTAGCTGGTATCTTTACATATGTTTCGTTATTATTATTTAACATTAAAATTTAATATTTATATTAAAAGAAATTTTTTAATTATCCAAAATCTATTACTTTTCCATCAAACGAATTAATGTAATAAAAAATTAAAAATTTAGAGGTTAAAAGGTTAAAAAGTTTAAGAATTTAAATATTCTTTAAAGTTTTGAGTGTAAAAATACAATTAGGCCATATAAAAATAAGGGTAAACTATATATTTAGCCACCAACTATTCTAGTGATTTTGTTTATGTCATCCAATTATTTTTTTCAAAAATTATATTTAATGTTATGTTTTGGTAATCAATTGTTAAAAAATTAACGGTGATGATGATTAGTCATCATAAGGTAATACAATGTCATCATTAAAAAAGTAAATAAAAAATCATCACATCAATAATTTTAACAATAAAATATTAAAATGGAACAAAAACGTAACATTAAATATAATTTTAAAAGAAAATTAAATGATCAAAGCAAAATCATAAAAATAAGTGGCTGACTAAATACATAATTTACCCGATAAATAAATAAATACGTAAACAACATAAGGCGGGGGCATATAGTGATTTGTGAGAGTTTCAAATTTGGTTACGTGGACTAACACCAACATTGATTAATAATGCTTCCTTTGCTTTGTAGAACGTTAACCACAAGTCATCGTCTCTGCACAAGCAACTGCCAACACCCATTCCCTTCTCTCTCGGCAAAATATGCTAATGGCGGAAACCTTCAACTCTCTTACTCTACCCTCCTCGAAACTAGATTTCCCACTCCCATTTCCTTTGTGCTCCGCTTCGACAACCCAAATCTCCACCCTTTCGCGCTCCAGACCAAATGGCTTCCTTTTATGCTCCATTTCAAGTGATCATTCCACCACTCCCATGGATGCTCAGCTTCACGATAAGACCAACACCACTGTCGTCCCCCAGCCTCGACTTCAAACTTGGTACTATTTTTGTATCTTTTGTTATAATTTAGAGGCCGGTGATTTTTAATGTTGTTTCTTTTGTTTTCGTAGTACATGGAACTGGAGGGACTATTCTATTAGGGTTAAAATTAAGAAATTATAAAGTATTGTATTTAATTTGATATTTTAAAAGAAATTGATGATTAAATTGTAAAATCATAAAGTTGGCAGACCATTTTAAGAAATGCAGGAAGTTTAGTGGCTAAACTCATAGTTTACCCATTTTTCTTTAAGAATGAATTATACCCCTCTCGTATGTTTTTTCTGCAGATTTTATCATTTTCTTCTTCTTCAACAACCCTCCTTTCAACTTCGATCTACTCGTCGTCCGACCTCCGATCGACGAATCGAAATCACCACCGTGTTCGTTGTCAACCGAAGAACAAAAACCCTCAAACCTTTCATCGTGAATCGTCGCCGTTCGTCGTTAATTTCAGTCAGAAGTATCGTTGGTAATAACTCGATTTCAGTTGGTTTTTCATCGATTCACGACGATCCGATGATCTGTTTACGACACCTCCCGCACCATCGTGTTCCTTGCATCATTCCGAGTCTGCCGGTGTCATCCTTGGTCTCCGTCGACGGCGGCACGTGAGGAGGTGAAGCGGTCAAAGTTTCCGATTTGTTGAAATCGAGCACTCCACCGTTCAAAAATTTGAACTGAGCTTTGAAAGTACCTCGAAATCACTCAAAATAATTTTTAGAAAATTTTCCGTGATTTATAGGCTGCCGGAAGACGTCCCACGCGCCCCCATGCGTCGCCACTGCACATGGGGAAGGAAAAAATGACCAGTTTGACTGGTTTTGGAACTGTTTTGACCGGTTCAAACCCGACCCGACCCGTTGACTCGTTGACCGTTGACCGTTGACCGGTGTTGACCAAAGTTGACCAAAACTTTGACGGGCTTTGACTGGGCATTAAACAACCTTTGACTTTGACCGAGTATACTTATCCCGACATTTTTCGACGTTTCAAATCCGATTCTGCAGTCCGTATTTCAAAATTCGGACCCCGAAGGCCTCGAAATTGCCAGTCAAACCCGTTGACTTCAATTTTGACCAAAAATTCCAAATTTTCGAAAAGTCATATTTTATGCTTTCGACGTCTTAAATCCGAATCCGAAGTCGGTTTCGCCAAATTCGAACCTGGTAAGTTGTTTTTGACTGATTTATCATCTGATTCAATCCGTTTTTCAGAATTAAGCTCCGTTTTTTATGTAATTTCTATTGGTATGGATCCAAGGAAATATTGGAAGATGATTTCAAGACCGAGGGCGTTCGAATAGAATTTTATGGTCGATCAGTATTACACAGAAATCGAGGTAATACTTTACTACCTCTTTATGTTTTATAGAACATGTTGATATTGGTAAATGCATGAATAAAAATGTTTGATCTCATATGTGTAATTAATGAATATCTACACTCGATACGAATACGGTAGAAAGTAGGTAACTGAATATGGCTCAGATGACTATTATAAGAAATTGGATGACAGTTGGAATTAAATTACAAGTTCTGGAATTAAGTGATAAAAGAATCAGCCATGGATATATAGATTTAAGTGATAAAAGAATCAACCATGGATATGTAGATTATAATTTATCTCATTAAAGGTACTTAGATGATAAATTATGAGAATATTTCGATTAGGTAAAATTACAAAATTACCCTTATATTGGCAAATGACAAGAATTGTCCCTGGAAGTGGATTAATAAATCTGAAAAGAATTATTGATCTGATAAAACTATTGATGTGCATAAGAAATGTTAGTTTTACTTGGAAATTATGGATAACCGATTTTTAACCCCAAGAGGGTTTATGCTAGATACTAGAAGTCTTTTAAGGAATCATTTCAAGATCAAAGAATGATCGAGGAAGCAATTAATCATAGGATTTCTATATTATATTATTTTCGTTAAGAGCTAATATCGAAATTATCTGGTTAAGAAATTACGAAAATGCCCTTGAGAGGTAAAATAGTCTGAGTTGACCCTGAATGAAAAAGTACTTTGAGGATTTGTACTTAACTCGATTAAGTACAAATTTAATTATTATGATTGTGTCTTTGTAAAGATAAATTCATGATATTTCGTTTGTAAAATCTGAGAAGGCACTTGACCTGAAAATATCCGAGTAATGAGTAAATACCTGAAGAATAATTTATCGGGGTATTATGGGCAAATTCAACGAGATAATGCTCACAAATTCTTTATTTCACGAAATAAGGCAGTCCCTAGATTAATTGCTCAAATGGGGTGATTTCCACAGTGTTGTCGTAGGTCGCCAGGGCATCCCAGTGACATGGTAGGTCGCCATGCACGCCAGGCGACATGGTAGGTCGTCATGCACGCCCAGCGACCTTATAGGTCGCCATGCACGCCCGGCGTCCAATGTTCTGCCCTGCTGCTCTGCTTTGGTGCTTTGCATGGGCCATGCACGTGGCATGGGATAGGTAGCCATACAATCCTCTCCTCGCGTGAGATTTCACTTGCAGCTACTCAGGAGAACCTATTCCTCCTGCTCCTCGCGTGATTCCTCTTACATCTGCTCAGGAGACCTCATGCATGCATCTGTAATAGCTGTATTATTGCAGCATGATTTGAGCTGCAAAGTGTCATAGCTTCGAGCCATAGCTACTCCCTCATGCCATAGCTTCGAGACTGTCCACTCTTGTTATCATAGCTGTATTGGTGCAGCGTAAAATCAGCTGTTATATGCAGTAATTAGTGTTGTATTATTGCAGCGTTCAACGGTTGAAAAATTTATAGCCTTCAACGTGAATTATACAGCTCAAATTGATTGCAGTTTACCAACCGTGCAAAGATCATTATATATTGGATATGAGGGGTTTATGGTAGAATCATAAGAAAGAAAAAAAATTTGGCGAGAGAAAGAAAAGGAAATGAAAAGAAGAATAAGAGGAAAGGGAGATAAAGGCTCAAACATCGTTCGTGAGGTAATTTTTAATTGTTTAATTTAGTTTATTAATATGAAATTATGAAATAATTAGTTTGTTAGTTTAGGGTTTAGGGTAAAACAGAAATTTAGTTAATTAGTTTGTTAGTATATAATTAGTAGTTTGTTAGTTTAAGTTATATTATATTAATTTGTTAGTTTAAGTTATATATTAGATTATATAAAAAATTAGTTAATTAGTTTCTTAGTTTAAGTTATTAAATGTAAAAAATATTTAATTAATTTGTTAGTGTGTTTAAACGTATATTAGGTTGTTTGTTGAAGTTTAAGTTAAAATATTAAAAAAGTTAATTAGTGCTTAATTAGTTTGTTAGTTTGTTATTTTAACTAAATTATATTATAAAAGAAATAGTGTTGAGTTAATCGAATGACGAAATTGGCCAAGAGGGGGGTGAATTGGCAATAAAAATTTTGTGGAAGCTTTTGCAGAAAAATTTAAAGTAATTGCACAGCGATTTACAGTGGTTCGACTTTCTCAAACAAAGTCTACGTCCACTACCTTAGCTATCCACACTAAGGATTTTCCAACAAATTCACTAATTTGTTCTTTCTTTTGAGGCCAAAGAGATAACCTTACAATTCCCTCAAGAGTATACCCCAACTCTTGAGAACACTCTTTTCTCAAAGAGAAGATTACAAATT